GGTGTCAACTATCTCTTGAGGTAGGTCACCTAGAACCTCCGCGTCCCATCCAGGGACCAGACATGAAGTTTCTAGAGGTCTGGACGCGGGTCCCACAGGGTGCGCCGTCTCTGAGTCACTAGATCCTTCCTCAGAGGAATCTGCCAGGGAGGGGCTGTCGCGAGGAGCATTAGATCGGGTGACCAGGTCCGGGTAGGCCAATAGGGTGCCACCAACCGGACCTGCTCCTCGTCCTCCCTGACCTTGCACAGCGTATACTTGCGCAGGCCCCGCGGCCAGCTGTGTGCCAGTGCGTCCGTGCCGAGTGTTCCCTCGGCCAGGGAGAAGAACAACTGGCAGTGAGAGGTTTCTGGAGAGGCAAACAGGTCTACCTGAGCGGCTCCGAAACGTCTCCAAATCAGCTGAATACGGCGCCACAAGCAGGACCTGCTCCTCGTCTTCCCTGATCTTGCACAGCGTCTGTGCGAGAAGGCTGACTGGGGGAAACGCATACTTGCGCAGGTCCTGCGGCCAGCTGTGTGCCAGTGTGTCCGTGCCGAGTGTTCCCTCGGTCAGTGAGTAGAACAACTGGTAGTGAGAGGTTTCTGGAGAGGCAAACAGGTCTACCTGAGTGGCTCCGAAACGTCTCCAAATCAGCTGGACCGTCTGGGGATGGAGTATCCATTCTCCTGGGAGTGTAGCTCATGACAGCTCGTCGGCCGTACGGTTGAGCAGACCCGGAATGTGAATGACACAAAGTGACCTCAGAACCTTCCGACTCCAAAGGAGGAGGTGGCGGGCGAGTTGCGACATGCGACGGGAGCGCAGACCACCTTGTCGGTTGATGTACGCAACGGTCGCCGTGTTGTCCGTTCGGAGTACGGTTGAGCAGGCCCGGAATGTGAACAGCACGAAGTGACCTCAGAACCTTCCGACTCCAAAGGAGGAGGTGGTGGGCGAGTTGCGACATGCGACAGGAGCACAGACCACCTTGTCGGTTGATGTACACAACGGTCGCCATGTTGTCCATTTGGACCAGCACGTGCTTGCCATGTAATCACCCTTTGAGATGGTTCAAGGCAAGGCACACCGCTAACATCTCTAGGCAATTGATATGCCAGTGCAGTTTGGGGCCCGTCCACACACCCAACACTGCGTGCCCATTGTACGGGGCCCCCCAGCCGGTGGTGGAGGCATCCGGGTAAACTACAGCATGCCTGGAGACCTGTTCTAGGGGCACTCCTGCTCGGAGAAATGCAAGGTCTGACCACGGGGTGAAGGTTTGGAGACAGGCCGATGTAACTTGAACCCGATGAGTGCCGCGCTACCACGCCCACCTTGAGATTCGGCCACGAAGCCAGTGCTGAAGCAGTCTCATATGGAGCGACCTCAGCGGTGTAACTGCCACTGCAGCTGCCATATGCCCCAGGAACCTCTTAAATTGTTTCAGTGGGACCGCTGTCCCGCCCTTGAATGAATTCAAGCAGTTCAGCACCGACTGTGCACGTTCCTCTGTGAGGCATGCTGTCTGTTCGACCAAATCCAACTCCATACCGAGAAAAGAGATCCTCTGCGTCGGGGAGAGTTTGCTCTTTTCCTAGTTGTCCCGAAGACCCAACTGGCTGAGGTGCTGGAGCATCAGGTCCCTGTGCTTGCACAACTGATCCCGAGACTGTGCTAGTATGAGCCAATCGTCAAGATAGTTGAGGATGCGAACACCTTGCTCTCTGAGGGGAACAAGAGCCCCCTCCGCAACTTTCGTGAAGACACGGGGAGACAGGGACAGCCCGAAGTGCAGGACCTTGCACTGATATGCATGTCCTTCGAGCGCGAACCGCAGAAATGGTCTGTGGCGCGGAAGGATCGACACATGAAAGTATGCATCGTTCAGGTCGATCGCTGCAACCAATCTCGGGGACGGATGCACCCGAAGATGCGTTTCTGCATCAACATCTTGAACGGTAACCGGTGAAGGGCCCGGTTCAAGACACGCAGATCCAAGATTGGTCGTAACCCACTGCCTTTCTTGGGTACAGTGAAGTAGGGGCTGTAAAACCCCGTCTTCATATCGACTGGAGGGAACGGCTCTACCACAGCCTTCGCCAGTAGGACCACAATCTCCACACGCAAGACAGGAGCATCGGCCGCCTTCACTGCCGTGAAGTGGATGCCACTGAACTTGGGGAGACGCCGGGCAAACTGAATCACATAGCCGAGGCTGATGGTCCGCATAAGCCAGCGAGATGGGCTGGGTAGCGCTCGGGCAGCTCGTGAGCGGACCGAAGAGGGGTCTGAGTGTGCGGTGCAATGCTTACCTTGTTCCACAGTTTGGCAGCGGGTGCGTGAGTAGGGCCTTTGTTGATGCTCTCGAACGCGACGGAGGAGGATGAGTGTGGTCCTGTGTGGGTCCGTCCGCGACTCTCCGTGCCCTCCTGGGACCCAGAGATTTTTGGAAACCAGATTCTCCACCCGGCCCTCCTCCGGGGGAGGGAGAGGTGCATTCACCATCCCCCAAAGAGCAGTTCCCTCTCTCTCCGGGTCACCTGTCTCGGGGCATCTTGCTCTTCCTCTCACCACCAGGTTTGTCGGGGGCCTGAACGGGCACTTGCTCGAGGCTGCTGCGGATGCGGTGCAGGAGCAGGGGTGGATTTCAGGGGGCCACCCTCGGCGATGAGCAGGCTGGGGCGCTGCGGCCGGCGAACGGGTGGAGGCTGCAGCTCCAGGACGTGTCAGATCACCTTAGTCTGCTCCTGTGCAGCCGAGAACTGCTGGGCCATGTTCTTGACTGCATCACCGAAGAGGTAAGTCTGGGACACAGGGACCTTGAGGAACTGAAGTTGTCGTCGTCCCTCATGTCGACCAGACACAGCCAGAGGTGACGCTCCTGGACCACAAGTGTGGACATTGCATGACCCAGCGAACTCGCATTGACCTTCGTTGCTCGGAGCGCAATGTCAGTTGCGGTTCGGAGCTTTTCAGAACTTCTGGATCATGAACAATCCTGTGCAGGTCCCTCAGTGCTTTAGCCTGAAGAACCTGCAGTAACATGTAAGGAGGAGGCAGTTTCTCCACAGGCCACATCGGCATCGTCGGACAAACCAGACGAGTACCAACAGACCCGGGAGGGGAGGCACGGGTCGCCCGGCCAGGTGGAGGCGGTATTAGGACACAACTGCATCGCAACCGACCGCTCCACTGGGGGGACCCCCGCATACCCCATAGCTGCACCACCATCGAGAGTGGTGAGGGAGGAGGTGTTAGCAGGTCGGTTTCCGGCAGAAAAAGATGCCTTTCACAACCTGGTAAGCCCCTCATGCACCTCCGGGAAGAATAGCACCGGGGCGGGGCGCTGAGAACCAGCACGGTCCACCCCGAAGAACCAGTCATCCAGCCTTGAGGGCTAGGTACACGGTGGAGGTCTCCACTCGAGCCCTACCCTCATAGCAGGCCGGAAAATCAGAGCTGTCATTTCCAGATCTGATTCAGGCATTGCTACCATCCCGGAGGGCGACAGTGCAGCCGAATCTTCCTCTCCAGAAAGCTCCAGCTCACCCTCCAATGCAACGATCAACATCCGATTGTTGGGAGTAGCGCCAAAGGATACTACTGGTACGCTCTTTGTACAGGGCCTAACACATTCCTTTGGCAGCTCAACTGGTTTTGGAGTGCAAGAGGAGCGATGGTCCTCCCCTTATGAGGTAACGGAGCTTGGCCCGCAACTCCGAGAAGGTCATCTTCCCGCAATGAGAAGATGACTCATCCATGAACTCCACCCCAACGTGCTTAATGCCCAGACATGTGAGGCAGCGATCGTGACCATCACCCAACGCCAGATAACGACCGCATCCAGAAATGCACGGGTGATATCAACGTCCACATTACAAAGTGATATCGTTGACTTCATTGCAAATGATTGCAAAGATACTATTTAAACTGAACTGAGCTGGATGATGACATCACTGAATTCAAATTATGAACTGCCTTTAACTGTAAATGAGTGTTTACTATTGTCATTTTGCATTATTGACAGACTATTTTTCTAATTAATGCTGTTCAGTTGCTTTGACACAATCTGTATTGTTAAAAGCGCTACATAAATAAAGGTGACTTGACTTGACCTTAAAAACACATTACATTAATTATACCTTAATTTC